TTGTAAAGTTCATCGAGGCGCGCGTGCAGCGCGTGAGGGGAGCGAGGAGCCCGCTGATTTAACGACTTCGCCGATGACGTAGCGCCCGTTTTACATCCCTACGCCAAGCTAAAATTAATGTTTTGCAGATTGTCCCTAGGCGACCTGCTGACGCTCCAAATCCCTCCAATGTTTGTGTAAAAAAAAAAAGAAAAAAGGTATTAGAAACCTCGTTTGTCGAAGTTGTCGCTGACGTCAAAGTGACGTTTCCGAACTTTGCGAGAGCCGTGGTTTGAGCTCGAGATCTTCGCTTCGAATCGAGGCGAAGTTAAACTTTGTCAACATGGCGGTGCCGTACGCTGCGGCCGAGCTTATCCTCCGCCACTGTCGGCGTCGCTACTGAGACCACCGGGGACGCCTTTCAACTCCCCGACGACGACTTTCGGCGACTGTACCGGCTATCGAAAGCCGTTGTGTGTTGACTCTGCGACGAGCTTCGTTCGGCGCCCGGACTTCGAGGCGGCAGACAATCGCGTCTACCATGACCGTGGAACAATAAGTTCTCTGCGCGCTCCGGTTCTTCGGAACCGGTAGCTTTCTATGGTGGCGACTGCCGAGCACCTGTCAGTCTCCCACATGACTGTGAGCCGGGCTGTCAGAGTGTTTGCGGCTGCCATCGTTTTTTTTCTGTAATATCCGAACAGGTACTACTAAGCTGGTATACAATTCAGAATGTTGGAAAACAAACAAGAACCGGGGATGGGATGCGCAAAATACATTCAAATATGTATCGAAATACAAATGCAAAATACTTCGTCCAAAAATGTATTTGATTACAAATCTAATTACTTTCCAAAAAAAAAAGCATTTAAGTACAAGATACATATGCAACCATATGTATTTGGTCTCCTCCAAGTACTTTTCCAAATACATTCCTCAAAATTTGCGTCAGCGACTTCAGGGCATCTGCAACGGGTTTCTGGGTATCTCATTTTAATTTTGCATCGCACACTCAGGAGTTAGTGTGCGAGACTCTAGTAACGTAATAGAAATATAATCACAAAAAAATGTAATCAGCTTGGAAGTAATAGGTGAAAAAATGTACAGAGCTTCAAGCAGCTTTTTTTGTCGATTACATTTTGGTATAGACCAACAAAGAACCGAGACGACCGAGACGCGCAGCGTTAGCTAGAGAATTTTTTATTGTTGCAACTCGCACCAGTTACGAAAATCTGGATGACCCGTGCATTTAGAATGTTCCAGGCAAAAATGTGGATGGAAATCAGGCTGGAAAGCATCACAAGTTGTCACAGGCACTTATTTAGCCAGTCTGCCTGTGAACGTCGATTTCTTCACTATTCTTGCCCTGGACCAGCACCGTAATCACAAAGTCAACAAACGCCTGTGCTTGATTAAGAGACACTCCATTCGGTGCAGATTGTAGTTTTCTTCCTGCTCTGGACAGTGACACTAAATTTGAGGGATGTATTTTCGCCCACAAGATTGTATTTAATTACAATTGTAGTTGAAATACCCCCGTTTTATTATTTAAATACACACGTCAAATACATTACCCCATTTGTAATTAAATAGAAATGTAAAATACACAAAGTATTTGAAATACGTACTTCAAATACTTGTATTTGAAAATACTGCCCACCCCCGAACCGGGGTAATTCTTGGGTAGGGTGGAGTCTCCCAGGAGCAGAATTATTTCCCCGAAATTCTACTGGCAGTCGCCACTCATTGGCGGTCAAATCAGTTCATTGAACGACGTGTCATCGACAGATCGTTTCATCGGCACGCGATGTAATCACATGAAAGATTCTCTTCCGTTAGAGGTATATACACATTAAACATTTTCACACCTTTATACATGTAAGTGGGGTGTCCCATAACTAACACCCTAAGAAGTGTAGCGAAAGACCTTATAAAAAAATATAAACCTCATACCTTTAAAAATGTGCGATTTTTTAAACACGTTTCTTAAAACGTGTGATAATGCAATACACCTTTTTATGAAGATGTAAAACTACAATACCCCTCCTCGTCAGGCACGTAGCCGGGAAAGGGGGGGGGGGGGGGTCTAAGGCCTGCCTCCCCCCCCCCCCCCCCCCGAAATCTTACATTTTGCTGGGGCCTCCTCTCCCCCCTTCCCCTCATAGACCACTTTGTCATGGGCGCCCCCCCCCCCCCCCCCCCCCCCCCCTTCTCCCTGAAACAAAATCCTGGCTACGTGCCTGCTTCTCGTCAAGGTGAAATTACCACAGTACATTGCATTTTTAGGCTGTACACAATGGCCCGGGACCCAATAAAATGGCTGAACAAATAAATTACACAAACGAGTCGCCGAAGCAGCACGTTGCTTCTTGGCGAGTGTCGAGGCAATTTCGGCCGATAACCGGCTTCAATATTGGCCGGATGTACGTACGGTTTTGCGCCTCGTCCTGACATCCGGCAGGTATGGGTGTACCGATGCCAATAAACGATTTATGTCTAATAGCACTGGCACCACTGATCTCTTAGGAAGCTGGATCGCGGATAGAGGCCTGTATTGGTGGGGTCGAGTGGCACCACCGGCAGTCATCGCTTGACACGATCTAATGCATGCTTTAGGAGAAACGGGAAAACTCAATTTTATTACGTTAGTAAGTTGTTCTCGATCTTGAAACTTCTATCGTGTTTCCACAAATAACGGTTAATATTGTGGGCAAGAATATTAAACGCGTTAGAATACCAATCTTGTTTAAATGAATGTTGTGTGGTTGAGGGTCGAGGGCGACTCTGTTGGGTGTTAACTGTGATGTGTTTAATGAGACAAGGGCTACCGAGAGTTATTGTGGAGTCATCCGTGATCTCGGAGTCATCAGAGCTCAGGAAACGATAAGTTAGAAGGCCTTTACTGGGGACATTCGCATCGTTTTAACCGCGTGTACATAGCAGGCCCATTTTTTTTAAAGATCGATGTTTGAACGTTTGACGAATGTCTATTTGATCTCCAAACACCCGACATAATCATCGCAGCACGTCATAAAATGCTCGCCCTCGAGCTCCGCGTACAAGCTTCCAACTTTTGCGTGTTTCTCCCTTAGACTTGCGTGTATTGCCTCCCATGGCATAATACGCCAAAACAACAAGAACGAAAACGAAGGGAGAACTAGACAGGACGCGGCGTATTGCCTGTTGTGAAGCAATGGCCGCCGGTGAGGCCAGTGACGGGCTCCCGATCCGCGATCCAGACTTGCACTGTGAGAGTTCTAATGCATTGCACCCGCGGAGTGCTGCACGGAGAACAGGCCCGGAACGAACTTGCCGAATGCACAGAGTGCAAACTGATGCTGTCGCCATAGACGTTGTAGAAAAGTACCGACCTCAAACCAAAACTAGCGCCTTTTTGTTCGACGTGATGGGTGGGAATGCGAGAGTGTCCAGTCGCTGCCATCGTTTATCTATAAACGTTGGTTGCTGCAACGTGTAACTGATATTTGCGATGACTTCCAATTAAGGAACTCGGCTGTCAGAGATATCTACAAACGGCGTAAATTTCCGGAACGAGCTGACTGCAAAACAGCATACACTTCAGAAAATTGATGGCACTGTACACGCAAGAGCTTGCTTCGTTTTAAACATAGTGTTATGAGTGAACCACTGAAAGGATACGGCTTAAATCTAGTTCTTTGGAACATCTAGCAATACGTTTCGAAAGACTTTTTATTTCCCTGGTGAGGGCATTGAGAACGAGAGCTTTCTCAAACAAAATACGACGGGGCAAGATGGCTGCCGTTGAAATATAACTTTGCTTGAGCCTCGGGCAACGTCTCCATGTTTAGCCTTCCCGGACGCTGAGTGAATCCGTCACAGGTTTCTGCTGTGGGGGCACTGGAGAGGCCGTAAGACAGCGAGCGCGTATCCAGTCCGGCCGTAGGCAGACAACACCTGCCCTACTTTCGCTCTCCCTGCACCCCGCAGCCGCGGTATTCGCGACTCCGACGACCTATATGGGATGCCACTATCGGGCAAATATGGCGGCCTGAAACAGGTCATGCCGTGCCATGTGCCGGCTCAACACAACGCTGGGGCACCAGCACGCAAGCATTGGACTCAAAATGGTTTGCTCCGATTTTGTCTTCCACGTTTCGTGCCTGCGGCGATCTGTTGGCGTAAACGAGCTTCCAGAAACTTTACTTTCTTCGAAGAAGTGATGGGACTGTCCACTCTCCTTCCACGGTGCCGATGAAAGTTTATACACGTGGATTGTCTGGGTCACGTGGTTGTGTAGGATGCGCTCAGAGGCTCAGAGTAGCCTGGGTAACAAGCTGATACTACAATTACGACAGAGTCACTTGGCCAACTGTTCCGTCGCGCAAACCACCGACAACATGTAGTCACGGAGGCCGAAAGAGACAAGCAGATATTGTGAAAGGACCTGTTCCGGCCACTTCAGTGTTCTCCCGCTAGGTGCCGCTCGTCTTGATAGAGTCGCGAATATTACGGGTTGTGACGCCTAGAGCTCCTTGATATGTTTGTGTTGGTCTTACAGGTAGAGTCAAACGCGCCAATACACGAAGGCCATGCTTCGTGTGGTCCTTATAAGCAAATGGCGGCGCAACAATAAAATTAGGGGCCCTTGAAAGCAAACGGCGACGGAGCGCTCGTCCATGGCACTTGTCTCGCGCGTTCGCATAACAACGGATGTAGGTACTCGTAAGAAACGCGAAGCGCGAATTTTATCAAGATACTTCATTTGCGCCGCGACGGCAGTGTCGTCTCCGTCCGATGATTTTCATTGCTGGTGCTTCTGCAACCAGACTCAAGAATCACGGCAGCCCTGAAGTTCAAATTGGATGAAAGTGACGGTGCTTGTGACACATTTCCTCGCTAATTTGGGGCGTACTCCGACGCATGAAGAAAAAACACGCCAAACACACAAGTTGAACACGCGTTTCAGTCACCATGCACAAACAGAAGCGTACTACGACATCATGTCCACCAGGGATGTCTGCCGCCAAGAAAGGAACAAGTTGAATAGTCGTCTCGTTTTATTTTAGTCGTGATATGAAAGTACGTTGACCGACGAAAAGGGCAGCACACTTGACAGGTCCTCGAACGCACAAATGGGAGAAGCACACGTCGAGGCACTGCGTTTGCGGTTCTACCTGAAGGTGGAAGTATCGACTTGACGACAATAATATCTGCGCTAAATCATATGTATATATATATTTTCAAACTGCTTACTCACACCGAATTCACGGCTCAAGTTCCTTACATTTGGCACCTTACCCGAAATTAGCCACATCTGTGTATAAACATTGCATATGCACTTCGTACGTTCTCAACTGGGGCATTAGAGAACACCATTTTAGATCGTTTTGACTCTGAGACCTTTTAGTTTTGCATTCAGTTATTGGTGAAGGCTCTTAGAGTTAATGGGCTCATAACTCAATACAGTGGTGCCGCCTTTATCCAGAACGCTTCTCCGCCTAAAGCGCTCAGGGATAACAATGTATGTGCAATTAATGAAATCACGATAAAAGAAATCGGTGTCTTTTTTAGCTGTAACCGTCAGTTGAGTGTACAGAAATAGGGAGGGTGCTACAAATACAGACAGGTATCCGAGACTCAGTGTTGACGCTTTAACAACATAAAACAATTTCCGGTTCTTTTGTGAGGCGGTTCGCTCTTCAGTGATGCTTTAGAGGCAAGTCTTAGCGTTATTCAATCAAACATTACTTCTGTTCCTATCAGCGTACATCACACTAACGTACAAAGTATTCACTAGCGACTTCAGCGCTGAGATTCGGCTTGTGATATGTTTCTCACTCAAGACGTAAACAAAAGCCTCTCACAATTAAAACAAAAAGAAAAAAAAGATCAACAAACGGCGGTTACAGAGCTATTTGTCCGAAAGTATAGAAGACGTCACTTCTACACAACAGTATGACAGCTTTCAACTGTGGCGAGAACTGTGAGGAACACACATTGTTATACTTACCTGCGTAAGGACTTTTGTTTCTTTCATTTTAACATTTCGAAAGAAACGTTACACGTTTGAAAAGTTCACAATTAACGTTGTTGGCGTACCCTTTGCTCAGCTCTCCTTCACCTAATTGCTGCCGAGTTTTTTTTTTTTTTAGTTTGTTTTGTTTCTTTTCTTGCAGAGCCTGGGTTGCTCACCCTTGTTGACGACGCTGCGACGCCGCATCGTGGAAGACGTTCACAGTTTTTAGTTTCTGTGGCGCGCGGAATCATGGCTTCTTTTAACGGCACTTCAGGCGACGGCGAAAACGCGTCACGGAGGACAAAGAATGGTAGCGTCGGACCGATTTGGAGTTTGCCGGGCGTACCCCTGTCTTCTTTTCTCATAAGCACACTCTAATACAGTATGGCGGCACGCCTACATCCCGCAGGTCACCTGTTGGTGCTCAATCACCGAAAGCACTTCAGAGAGTGCACCCTGAGACCAAGAAGTCCTAAGGGGCGGTTTATCCCGTAAATGTAATTTACGCAAAAAAACAATGACCGGTTACAGCGAGGTCTTGTTACTGCGCTCGCAGCAACCGAAACAATCGCTCGCTGTCCGCGTGGGCCCACTTGTACCACTTGTTACTAAACAGTGTGCCCGTCTAAATCGACATTTGAACAACGCGTATAGACCAATGCAAACAAGCGTCTGCACATGCGTCGTGCCGACCGCAGCGCCACCACAGCTGCTTGACGACAGAGCCACGCGTTGGTCTCAATATATTCTTTGTAAATCGAATGCTGCTTTCAATGGTCGACGAAGGCAATGTGGTACGCCCAGTGGTCCTCCAAAAGAGCCCGACGCAGTCCCCGGCTAGTTGTTCGATGAGCGGTCCACTTTGAGAGAGTCTTAGGCGTCCAGTCAGAGCCCCGGAGCCCTGCCCGTGTGCAGCGGCTGACAGCGGGGCACGGCGGCCGACCAGCGTCCCCGTCCGATGCACTGAATCATGGGGCTTCCCCTCAGCTGGAACCCGTCCGGGCACTCAAACGTCACCGTCTCGTTGATCCGGTAGAAGTAGCTCACTCGCGACGAGATGCGGGCACCCTCGCGCACGCTGGGGTACTGGCACGCCGGCACGCCTGGGGAACCACAAAGGGCGTGCGACGACCGTGTGAACATACAGTGCGCTGTACAGTTGGTGAGAGGTTAAGGGTTCAGGAAAGCCCCTCTCATTTCTTTCCACTTTAGCAAACCGAACGCTGTAGAAGAGCGGCCTCCTCTCCAGCGCTCACTTTGGACAAGTGGAAAGAGGTGGGAGGAGCTTGTCTCTAATTCTTAACCTTCCAGCGACTCTAGTGTGAACAGGTGGTCTGTGCTTAGCCTCTTTCTCTCTCTGTCTCTCGTTTAAGACCCTTCCAAACAAAATACTTCAAAAATCGCGAGGCGACACGACTCCCACATAAGTCGTGCAGCGGTCCGCTTCCGTCCGCTTTTTTAGTTTTTTGCCGGGAGGAAAGATTTTTTTCGTCATATTTCGCCCGTGTCCTCCACGGGAGCCTTGAGCTTGGTTATCACGTGAGTCCGGACAGTTACTAACAAGCCCTGTCGGTCAATTGCTCAAGGTTTCTGCTGCTCTTCACGTCCCCAATTTGAGAAAGAGAAGGACTGTGTTCGAAATTTTACCCAAATAGATCCATGCTATAATACTCCGGCGGGTCGTGTCTCGTGATAACCCAAATAGCACGACGCTGGACGCAGGCATGCTTTTGAACGCAAAGGTAAAAGACCCTTATCCTGGCATATGACCGAGTAAATTTTGGAACAAGTTCCAGGATACGAGGGCCCGGCAGAACAGATGGACAGCATTGGCAGGTGGCGTGTGACGTAAAGTCTGACGAGCATCGAGGTCACCGAAAAGTGGAGGAAGCGAGGAGGAAAATCGTGATGTTGGCTCGGTGGTGATCAGACAGACATCACTGCCGGACTGCCGGACGCTTCAACTTCCACAATTCTTGACGGAGTAGTGTCGCCTCACGATTTCTGAAGTAGCCTGTTTGGAAAGGCCTTTACACGCACTTGTAATCTCGCACTGAAGCGGCGTTGGTGCGTTCGTGTTCGCTGTGTCCATCTCAAATAAGCTCTTTGTTTATACTGTGCCCCACTTTGCAAAGTATAGTCATTCGCGTCGGTTGCGTTTTCAGCAGACAAATCGGCATCTAGGACGGAACTCTGAACAGCCGTAGTTGGTATGCAGCGTGAAAACTAGCTTCTGGTCGGTCAGGTCACTCGGAACCGGCCAGCAACCGACCAATCGGAGATGAAGATGAATCTGGGCGCGGATCTTTTTTAATCGAAAGCGCTTCTCGCAGTTATTTATTGAGTTGAGGCTAAACGCACGCGGGGTGTACGGAGCACTGTTGCCCATGTGATTCTGTCGTGGCTGTCGTTTAACTTCCTATGAACGCAAACGATGCAAATGGTTGAGCATGACGAGTATCATAATGCAGTCTCCATGTAAAAAAAAAAAAAAAAAAAATGTGTCCATTATTATTATTATTATTATTTTTTTTTTGCTATGACATAACTTTCGAAGAATGAGTCTAGTGGCAACCTCTTATCGGTCGAACTGATTGGAAAAAAAAAATAGATGATCGGCGCTTTCAATGAGTCGGAGTGAAGTACACTCTCATCTACAGGGCATTATTGCTCATTTTTATTTGTGATGGCACTGAGAGGGCAAGAAGCACGAAACGCCTGAATACCCAAACTTTTGAACGCGCTCGTTGCCTTCCATCGTGCTTTGGCTGGCTTAAAACACAAAAAAACGTCGCAAAAAAACAAAACAAAAAAAAAACGCAGAAAATTTGCGCGGAAGGAGGAAAAAAACCTGAGAGACATCTCTGCCGTTCTTAACCTGTTAGTGGTATAATACCATAGACGCCGAAACAGGCTATCCTTGCGCGGTACTGGAGCTTTGCCAATTGAATCGGGCAAGGACGAGGCGTGCGAGTGGCGGTAATTAGGGGGCCACGTGACCTTTCTTTTTGATCTTACAAATTTAGATTCATTTGGTGAATTCCTCGTGCATTTTTAGGTAGGCCTTACAGTATTTATATCGTGAAGCCATTGCCAATAACGACCTGTCGTAAGCCAGCTATAGCAAAAAAGAAAAAGCAAGAGAGAGAGAGAGAGACAGAAAGACAGACTGTCTATAGCCCAGAAGGCGGAGAATGAATTTTTCACGCACACTTAGGCACAGGGGCGCTCCAGCGGTCGTTCTCCTCGCAGACGACCACTCCCGCGCCGAGCATCATGTGGTCCGTCCGGCAGCCGAACCGGACCAAGTCTCCGCCCCGGTACTCCCGCGACTCACCGGACGACCCGCCCTCGATGAAGCCGTTCTCGGGAGCCGGCAGGCCGCTGCACCGTACCTCTGCGCGCACGCGTTCAACACGCACCAGCCTCAACAAAAGACTGGTATACACCCGAAAGGCCGATCACACAGCAAAGTTTTCTTAGGCTACGAAGCTTACGTATACGCTTACGTCGGGACACGACCACAAGTCACCGGCACATCCGTGCTTCATATTGCGCATGGCAAGCTACTCCTTTAACTGGTTGCAACGCTTTTACGAAGCACGGAAGTGCCGGTGCTACTCGCGGTCGCATCTCGACGTAAGCGTGTACGTAAGCTTCGTAACGTAAGAAAATGGTGCTACGTACGCCAGCCTTAAATACGCAGTCACACTGGTCGTACATATAATACAAAAAACACATCGTTCGTTGCAGACACGATGACGTCTAAAGACGCACCTCGAACATATTGGAAACATGTTTGCCTCAAATATATGTATGCTTAGCAGCAGACAGTATTGGCAGTGCGATTGCGGCGTCGAAGAAATTCGCGGGTCTCTCTCGGACACCGAGTTGGGCCGGAAGCGTGGCATGCTCTCGTTCAAAACGACATCCCGTCCGTGCCGAGCTATACAGGACGCGAGCAATCCCGGCGCGGTCGGTTGGACGCTCACCCACGCAGGAGGGCAGAGGACCCGACCACTGGCCCGTGTCCAGGCACTCGACGCGGGCCTGGCCCCTGAGGCCGTAGCCCTGAGGGCAAGAGAAGTGGGCCCTGGAGCCGACGACTCTGTCGTCTGCCTTCACCATCACCAGGCCGTCGGACGAATCCGAGATGTCCTGGCACTCCGCGACTGAAACAGACCATTTATCCCGGTACGGGCTATGAGTCCCTGCCTTTATTATATTATCGTGCAACTTAAAGGGACACTGCAAGAAAAAAAAAAAAAAAAGATTATTTTTAAAAGGCACAAATGCGACACGTATTTAAAAAAAAGAATAACGAGAAAAAAAAAAACACAATTTGCACAATATTTACGCCGTTAGACGCAATTTAGGTGCAGAAGGTGGAGGTCGCAGTCCGCTAATCCCGCCCCGTGCTTACTAGGTGCTTACATCTCTCATTGGCTGGAGAGATGATTCACGTGTGAAAGGTTGGTTGTAAATTTGTATCTCCGTGCGGTAATTGTATTTTAATCGGCTATTTGTTGTGTTTGAGAAGCAAACAATCAAGGTAGAGTCATTATTGTTTTCCAACGTCTCCTGAGATTGCTTCAAGCTGCTTTGGTTTGAAACGTTAAGAAACATGGCTGCGGCGTCTGCGGCGTCTGTGGAGTGCTGAACGAGCGAAGCTCGTTGAGCTTGTTATTATTTATGAGTGCGAGTGGTTTTGTGTTCCGAGAGGTGTTTAGAGGTAGATCTCCTTAACCGACGTAGTTTGGAGCAACTGCCGCAAGTACGCGCCTTCGGAAGCTCTGTGCGGATGCTTGTTCTTATAGCGGGGCTACTCGCCTAAGCCTAGAGTCCCAGATCAGCTATTTTGATCGACCTGGCTTGCTTTCTTTCTTTGCGCGTGGCGGTGCCGATTAAAGATGGTGGTTCCCGTGAGAGCAGCCCCGCCTCTTTGTGAATTGTGAAACCATTGTGATTGCGACCATGGTTTCAATACTGAGAAGATGTATAGACAGGTAAGAATTTGCGAGCCATTCGGCTGAAAGAGATCGAGCGTTCGGTCCGTATTAAGTTAGTTCAAGTATGTTTCCGTCATTTCGCTTCGAAAGGCAAGTGGCTCTCAAGTTTTGCAGTGCACCTGGCCAGTCAGAGCGAGTAAGTTTAGGTCACGTTTTATCTGTGCGTCATGACGCTCTCTCAATCTTCTCGCGGATGCCATGCGAAAAAAACAAACAAACAAAAACATAAAAGCTGAAATAAGAGCTTTTTTTTTTTTAGTCCACTCGGTCGCTTTTTACCGCAGAAAGCACACCTTCAAACGCTTGTATTGGCCCGTCGCTTATTTTCGCGGGTTCAATCCTAGGACGTTGTAGCTCTCCCACGACCGGTTTTATGGTCTTGAGTTTTCCATTACTTTTAATGCGAAATCATTAACTGTCCCATGGAGCAAAGCCGGCGTTGTCTTTAACCGTCTGTAGCAGCGAAACGGCAGTTAAATTACCATTGGCCGGAAGCACAGAAACGCAGAGGCTTCATCACAGAAGTCGGCAGGGCGCTCAAGATCAAAGCGGACGCGCCTCAGAAATAAAACACAAAGAAAAGCACAGCAACGCGGATGCTTCGTCACGGCAGCCGTGAAGCCGGAGGGGGGGGGGGGGGGGTGCTGCCGCGCCTGAGCAGTGGAGAGCGTGATGTCACCACCGGAGCGCCATGTGAAAAAGAAAGACGTGGCGCGCTGCTTGTAAGAATGCGCTGCATGTAGGAATGCTTTCGCATTCCTACACGCAAGCGGTCTGAAATGTCTTCGTTTAATTTTGTTTTGTTTTGTCATGACAAACGGTTTGAACATTTCTACAGAAGGGAAAGGCGGTTATTTTATGATTATAACTATGATTCTAGGCGCCAAATTAAATTAATTCTTGTTACTTCGAAGGGTAGCTTAGGTAGTGGCTTTAAGCTTGACTATTGGACGATCTTAACCTGGATTAAGATGGTGGCTCCCAAAGGGTACCTGCAAAGCTCCGTAGCACGAAAGGCCCTGTGTGATGTGGACGTAACTGCGGTGTTGTTCACGTGACCTGTGGGACTGCGCGCGCATGCTCACCCTGGCAGTACGGGAGGTCGGCGGACCAGTTTCCCGAAGGCAGGCAGGTGGCCTGCTGGCTTCCCTGGATGCGCTTGCCTTCCTCGCACGAGAAGACCACCTTGGTGCCCATTCTCGTGTTCGTCGTACTCACCAACAGGCCGCTCACGTTCGGCAGGGGGTCGCAGTGAACGGCTGCGGACGAACGCGGAACAAAGAGTCAACGGACAGATTTCGGGTACTTTAAATCGCGGATCTTGGTGCTACAAAATATGGCCGGAAAACAAAAATACTTTTATTTTTCTGCGTTTATGTGTACGGTCCGACTTATACGATGGTGCCAATTTATACAATAATGTGTAAATATAAATTAGAGCGGATTTATTTACTTTAGTGTCAGATGGAACTAAATATCACAACTAAAGCTTCCAGACTTTTCAGCAAGTGGTCGCGCAAGCAAATACGCTCTCGAAGTTTGAGTCTTTCATAATGCCGCTTTCACGCAAACAGTGAGACAGCATGTCAGCCATCTGTAAATAAGCCCCCCCCCCCCTCCCCCCCCCCCCCCAAGAATAAGAAAAAAAAACGCAAAAAGAAGCGTGTAATGCACTCACGAGACACGACAATGTCCACCGAGTGCTTGTGGCCCATCGGAGTAACGCAGGTGTAGCGGCCCGTGTCGTCCTTTTTGGCGTGGTAGATGGACAGTCGGTACTCCAGCTGAGAATCCCTGCCGGGCTCAGTGGTCCAGCCTGCACGCGGACGGGAGGTATTTACTGAACGGCACTGATTGATCAAGTGGTTGTTGTTGCCTACGGCGCACCCGCAGTTATCGTCTGCCTAGAACGAGTCTTGGCTGTGCAATGTGCCGAGAAACTGAGGAAGGTGAGGAGACGAGAGCGCGCGGGAACTTCAGAACGCCGAGCTCTGGTTTCAATGGTTAGGGGGTAGACCTAAAGCTAACTACCTGTCTTTGCCTCCACCGCCCCTGTTGACGAACGCAAAATCCAAACGCCGGACGCCGGCGTTCTCACGCCTTCGACAAGTGCAGTGGCATAGCCTCCTCTATACTGACAAAACCTGGCAGATCGCCACGAGAAGCGGCCGCCGAAATTAAAAAGGTGGAGCGGCAGACGACGGATGAGAGGAGAGCCACGTGACTGGCGCCCCGCTGCGGCGAGACGCCGAAACACACTTCTCCCGAGCGAACAAGTGTGTTTCGGGTCCCCGCCGCTGCAACAGCTGTGCGCTGACGTCCAGGTTCCCCGAGAAATGGCTCTTTGATGCTTTGTGCTACCAGATCCTCGCGCTCCGAATCGGCGACCGGGCACTCGACGGTTCCGTTGTCGAACTGCCAGGCTTTTTGCATATATAGGAGGCTATGGCAGTGGAGACACAGGCTGCTAGCTAAAGGTCTACTCACTAATCATTCCCACGAGAGCACGGCCTTCTGACGTCCTTGCGGGCTCTCGTCTCCTTCTTTCTCCCAGTTTGTCGGCGCATATACACGTTGCGAAAGCGTTACAGAAGTTCGCCGCGAGCACGCCCAAACATACCTCGGCAAACCTCACTCATGAGGGCCCTCACTCACCCTAACTCACCCTCATCTTCACAGGTGAGGTGAGGGTGAGTGAGGGCCGTGAGGGCTGTGAGGGCGGTGAGGGCCGTGAGGGCCGTGAGGGCGGTGAGGGCGGTGAGGGCCGTGAGGGCGGTGAGGGCCGTGAGGGCCGTGAGGGCCATGAGTGCGTGAGGGGCGTGAGGGCGGTGAGTGGCGTGAGGGCCATGAGTGCGTGAGTGGTGTGAGGGCGGTGAGGGCGGTGAGTGGCGTGAGGGCTATGAGTGCGTGAGGGCCGTGAGGGCGATGAGGGCCGTGAGGGCGGTGAGGGCCGGGGGGGCGGTGAGTGGCGTGAGGGCGGTGAGTGGCGTGAGGGCGGTGAGTGGCGTGAGGGCCATGAGTGAGTGAGGGGCGTGAGGGCCGTGAGTGCGGTGAGGGGCGTGAGGGCCGTGAGGGCGGTGAGTGCGTGAGGGCCGTGAGGTTCAGTGAGGGTGAGTGAAGGGCTGAAGGTGAGTGTGACTGTGAGGGTGAGGGTGAGTGAGGGGCTGAAGGTGAGTGTAGCTGTGAGGGTGAGGGTGAGTGAGGGGTTTAGGTGAGTGTGGCTGTGAGGGTGAGGGTGAGTGAGGGCGACCTAAAATGCCGACCTCTGCGCCCAAAGCGGCAACGGATTCAGCTCAGTCGCCATATAGCGTGTAACACCTGTAGGTTCATAAAATGTTGAGATATTCTTTCGTGTAAAGACGAACGCGCTTGTTGCCGAGAAATGTGAATGCTGTACGGCCGCACAATACGATTTCTGGATCACTATATGTACCTACACGGGAGAACACACGCTAAAAAGACACCCCATTCGAAACTCCAGAGCAGGCGACGCCATCCAGCGCAAAAGGCGTGAAAGAGAGGAGGGAGGGGGCTATACCGGCCTATCCGACTGCCGCACGGAAAAACTGGTGTGGCCTTCCGGTGGGAGTGTGTCGGAGCGAAAGAAGATTAAACGTTCGATGTTGGAGTTGCGAGTACTTCCTCAAGGAACCATTGTAGCGTCATTCATTGCTATCACCGAAAGGACTCGGCGAATGACAAGGCCGGCAAGGACGTTTTCAAGCAGATGTGAAGTGCTGGGGACACAGCATCGTGCTGTGTCCCCCATGCACGATGCTTCACACGGTAATTTTTGCAGGCAAAGATGTTTTTCCGGCCTCACGATTCGTCGAGCTTTTTCCGTATATCCCTCCCGATTGGTTCTCCGAGTGCTTTTTGCGGTGAAATCGAGAAACTATTTTTCGGAAGCGGAGCTGATTAATTCCGCTCCGCTTCGGGTCAAGATGCCAGGTTTAAAGAAAGAGACTTCCTCGGAAGTCTATAGTAATGACAAGGTAAAAACGGCAGGGTGGAACTCAGCTGTCCCTCCTCCAGCGCGAGCTTGCTGCCTTCGACAGCGCTTCGGCGTCGTCTCGTGCACCTCGAGCGTGCGGGCGGGAAGCCAAAGCACGGCGGAAGGCATGATGCGCATGCTGGAGGCCGGGCATTCGAAAGACATGTCCTGTTATTTTTACTCTTTCGGTGACTATACAGGTAATTGCCTGCGAAATACGCGGGTCTGCGTGGTTCGGGAAGCATCGGGGGTGGCGCGATGTGTTATCGACGGCGTTGTCGCACCTTCGGCGTACTTTCGGCTCTTGTGGCTCACTTCCCACTTGGGTGTTCCGTACTTGCGCAGCCAGAGGCACTCGAGGTGCAGGATGGCGCCCGGGTACACGATGAGCTTGCCGTCGTTGCTCTGTGCCACGGGGGTCACGTGGGGCCGGAACAGGATCGTCGGGGGCTTCTCCACTGAAGCGGAAAGAAGCGCGACAAAAAAGGAACCAAGGATTCAATGGACGCTTTTTTTTACTTGCCTTTCACTTCCAGGCAGTGGAAAAAAGAAGGAATTCAGAGGGAAGTACAGAGGCTAGATGACAGACATCTCTCTAGGGACAGAGTGGTATGCGGAGAGCTAGTCGTCTGCTTCTTTTGCAGAAGTTGCGGTAACATCGAAACGACGCCGTACTCCGACTGACTTTTATTGAAAAGGTATTGTGGTTAGACCTCAATGATAGATGCCTTGAGGTCTGCCGGCAGTCCTTCAGTTAGAACCAATCAGAGTTCGGCGTTTTGACGTCACCAGAACCCCTGCCAAAGAAGCTGGCAAAATTGCGCTCCGCATAAACTGGCACGCTTTTTACAAATAAGACTGCGTTTGCCCACACCGCGAGTGGTGCGTGCATAGAAATTAGATTCGCGCGGAAAGAAGCGTCTGCGCATGCACCCTACCGACAGCAGCGCCACCGCAGCGGCGTGCGGTCAGAGCCGCGCACGTTGGTGTTTGCACTCCAACAGCTTTTAGGAAAACGGGGCGTGGCTTGTTACGTTCATGCTTCTTGATTCGTCATTGGTTTTTTTCAGAGTTCTCATTGGCTGGTGCTGCAATCTCATAGGCTGCTGAAGAATAATGAGGTGCGCAGGACTTTCACGCCCTTGCCTTTTTTAAGCCGTCAGTGTCGCACGATAGTTGGCTCGACGTCTATTGAGAGCTACAAAGGGCGCTCGTACAATTCCTCGGGGTCGTTCAATTAATGTTACGCATATAGGCCGGGAGAAACTAGCCTTTCCTCTAACATATGCAGGAAGCAATGTTTGGTATAGGCCACGAGGCGCAGAACAAACTCGCTACTGCGTTGACTGCTTTCGACCGAAGGCTTTCTGTGCTCATTGGGAGAGGGCGCCACGAGCAACTGTCGAACGGATAGGTCGTCGAAGTTGGAGCATTGCAAGTGCGAAGAATCTTGTTCTACCTTCTAGCAGAAATGGAGCTACGTCTCAGAATTTCACGAGGTAAAATCTACCGCTAAATTACGCCTTTCGTGAATATTTTAGTTCGCTCCGCGCTGGTATCGAATAATTCGGCTCGTTTCAAAGCCCGCACTCCTCCATACAGGCCCCGACATACGTTTCCGCACAGCAAGGGGGGGGGGGGGGGGGGGAGAGACAAACACTTGCAATCTTCGAAACCCATTAAGCGAATGAAAATGCGCGAATATATATAATGATAAACTGAGGGAGAGAAGGAGACTAGCTAGAGCCAACACCATTTAGACAGAAGGCCTCCGCATGGTCTCCTCTCCCTCTATGAAACGTCATCAGAGTCGGATGGCGCTAACTCGGCTATTGGGCCCGAGCCCGACCTTCGACGCGCTGATTGGACACGAGCCCCAGACGAACACTGACACAGCACTTCTGCCCAATCTCACGATCGATCTGAATGTGATGACACGTGCGGAGGCCTTCTGTTCTGGTGGTGTTGCTAGAGCGCGCGGGGACGTTAAAGCGCCTAGATCTGGTTGGAATGATTACTGAATAGGAGACGCAAAGCCTTTGTCTCCACTGCACTCGTCAAACGCGGAATGTCGGCGTCCGGCGTTTGGGTTTCGCATTCTACCGCGTTCGACGAGTGCAGCGGAGACAAAGGCTGCTAGCTTCTGGTCAACCCACTCATCGTTTCAACCAAAGTTCGGCGTTCTGACGTCCCCTCTCGTCTCCTTCTCTCCCTCAGTTTCTCGGTGCATATGTCTGACTCAGAAAACAAGATCTGCGCAGAGAAGTTGAGGAAGTCAAACGCCGTGCCCAATGTTCCTACGCAGAATCCATTTTTGGGTACACCCGTCTTTCGGAGATGTCATTCGCTGAACCTGTTACCTAGACTTCCTCCCCTTTAAATCGCTCTTCCCCTAACCCCGTGCGGAGTGGCCCATTAGGCCAACTGGTTCAAGAAAACCTTTCCGTCTTTCCATCACCTCCGTACTCTAGATCAAGGTCAGTGGCTTATGCAGGATGCTCTGCGGAAAACGTGACAAATGTGTGGATTTTAAAATGAAAGTAAGGTTACATTAGGGAGTCGGTGCCTGAGTATGTTAATACACCACAACTCGAAGCATGTAAAACGAAAGTTATCGCTGCAGACCTCAGGGATGCTGTGCTCAATCCCTACACCTGACCCTACTTATTTTGATGTGCATCGTAACTGCATGGGGTAGTGTAGCACTACTGCGTGACGCATGTTGAGGACCTAGGGCTAGCAGGGGTACAGCACAGGCCAAATTATCCCAAATGCTTATTGGGGCTGACTCACTTCCCGGTAAACATGGAAACAACACAAAAGCAAGTTTTAAAATAGGATCCAAAGAGCATCGGGTCACCCGAGCTGCTTGGGTTTTTCTTTACTGCATGTCAGCAGAAGTTCAGCGAATGCGCAGTGCGAAGCAACAAACTGATCAGCGGACCCAAAAGCTTTGAGCCCCTATTTTTAAACTCTTATTACTTTGAAAGCTTCATGCGCAAACAAAATTGTTCAAGATGATGACTATGTCTACACCGTGTTACGTGGAAACAATGTGCAAGACTGCGGTTACAATGATCGTATAACAGAGAGTTTTAGTAGAATTCACGCTGCGGATTGCGTGCCCAGCTGGCGCGAACTCAATGTATGCTTCGAAGGGAAGGCACGAGCTCCCTTTAAGGGGTATTCACACGAGGGAGAAATCCCGGGGATTTCTCCCCGACACGCGCGTATCACGAGATGAAAACGCGAGGCCTTTGCACATCGCAAAGCCTGACGTTTTCGTCGTGGGATGCGCGTGCCGGGGAGAAATCCCCGGGATTTCTCCCTCGTGTGAATACCCCTTTAGGAACGCGAAGCTCTAGCGTACTGTTTACTAAAAGCATGCCTGATACCTTGGTTACACGGTTGGTTGCACGGGCGCCCTTAGCCGCAGTTAAGTGTGACCTTAGTTACTTCTCGTAGACCGTACTCTACAGCTTCGCGTTGCTAGCGGGAGCTCGTATCGTCAGTTCGAAGCAAAGGATTGACCACCCGCCCGCCCGCGATCCGCAGCGTAAGGTGTACTAAACCTGTAACTGCGCGAGTTGTAGAAGCGTCCATCGCGCGGTCCCCGACTCACGGGCGTAGTCGTTCTCCTGCGAGAGGCCGAAGCAGGAGGGCTTGATGCCGTCCCAGTCTCCGTACACACAGCGACGCCGGGTGCTGCCGATGAGGCTGTACTTGCCGATGTCCTTGCAGCGGAACACGAGCTCGGTGCCCGGCGGCAGGTGGACCGCGTCCTCCGTGACGCGCCGGTCGCCCAAGAACGCTTCCAGGTTGGGCTCCGCGTGCCGGAACACGCACGAGCGGTTGCGACGCTCTTCCCGGGGCACCGACAGCCGGGGGTCGACCTCCTCTGCAAGTCAATCGACAAGCGTCTCGTGCCCGCACAACATGAGGTGAAGCGATCGTCCACACTTTCACACAAAAGCGTTCCCATGCGTTTTTTTTTTTTTTTTTGTTACGCGCAAGTTACCAGAATATTAATGCCTCGAATGTCGCGCGCAAGCCAGCTCCTTTCATTGTTTGCCAAGCTTCATACGAAGCACAGATGTCTATACTTCGTCTCACCTTAGCACGGACTAACTGCGAAGGCTGTGCAAGCGCGAGCGGCTAGCTTCGACTGCCTTCACTGTAACACGCGCTGCACGAGCGCTCGTGCAGCCGCCGAGGCTTCATTCAAAGCAACTAGCTCGGGCTTTTGGCACGCGCGGCTAACAATAGTCCATGCTAAGGTGAGACAAAGTATAGGTGACTCTCGACGTAAGATCACATATGGTTGCATAACGCAACGTAAGAAAACGGTGCTGTGTGAACAGGCATTTAAATGCCATCAAATGAAAGCTCTTAGCTTTTGAAGCACTGCGTGTTCATCGCACGATTTAGCACGCACTAATGCCATCGAACAAAACTAAGAAATTATGAGACCTTTAGAGGATCAAACCATTGCACGATTCAGCACATTGTGTCAGCGTCCTCACTGCTTTTTACCCAAATTCCATTGTAACTTTTACTTTCTTTGTTTGTTTTTTTTCTCGCGAAAGGATGTAGGACTTACTATGTATTTTACTATGAGTATATAAGAGATGGATATTCAATAAATGTTAGTTGGGAATGCGCACTGTTTTCGTCCCCCTTTCGCCCTTTTAATATTTGAAATGGCTTTTTGATGAATTTGAACTTATAACAGTAACCTCAAATCCCTACGGAAGGGCACGCTCACAACAGGCACTCTCGTGTGCATTGTGTATGTGCCTTTTCACCGAAGTCGGTGTAGAAGGCTGTATAACTTTCGTCAGGTTTAACGTATATACTAACCCGTCCGATCCTAAACCATTAGTTCTAAAGAGTTCCAACGTTCAACTACGGTTGGATGCAAGTTAAGAATGTGCAAAACAAGCAGCACCGCGTTCCAGCCACGGCATGAAATCGCTCCGCTGAACAACCACGAAAGGCAGAAACTGGCTTCAGTGCAAAGTCTTCAAAATGTCTGTGTCCTTGATCAATACGCAGTAGCCTCGATAGCGGGCTATTCGCTCATACCGAAGGAACAGTGGATGGCGGTAATGAGAGTGTGCGAGGAGCTTCTGCTGCATTTTTAACTTGTGTCCAACTATAGCGACTTTACAGCTCCGCTTAAAACTCGGTACCTTTCGTAGGAGTTATAACGTGAAGACGACGCGAATTATGGGGGGGAGTAGCGGACGCGGGGAGCGACGGTGGTCGTACCGCACTTCTCGGGTCGCCCCAGCCAGCTGCCGTCCTCACAGAGCAGCTTCCAGGTGCTGCGCTCCCCGCCGGCGCCGTCGATGCACCGGAACACCACCTCGGTGCCGTGCGGGAACTGCAGCACGCCCTGCACGTCGCCCTCCTCGTCTGGGGACGGGGACTGGTACGCCAGGGCGTTGTGGAGTCGCTCCGGGGCGCTGCAGGCCCGGTTCGAGAGGGACGCCGAGGCCAACGCCGCCCTCGAAGGTGGCACGGCGACGTCACCTCCAGAGAACCGCGGGGAAGGCCAGGTCGTCGTCGGGTGAGGAAGAGGAGTCGCTGCCGAGGTCGTCGCCGCCAACGCCATTTGACCTTCCTTCTTCTGGGTGTCGGGGTATTCCCCCGGAACTATGAAAGCACAAGATCGAAAGATGAAGGAGTTTTCGTCGATCGTTTCTTCCGCCCCGGAAAGCTCTCCACAACCCGCTACGATAACGGGCACTTTGCAGTCAAGGCTAGCGGCGCGCATACGTACTAGCGGTGTTTTCGTTGCGGAGAGCGTAGCTGAGTAGAGGAAACGGTCTACGAAAACTCCCTATAAAGGAGTTTTCGTATATCGTTTCCGGAATGCCTGAGCCCCCTTCACGCAACCCTCTGGGTTAGAAGATGATAGACAAGGCAAGCGGCTCGCATGCAGAGTAGTGGCGTTTTCGATGCGAATACCGTAACGGAGGGAGAATTAAGGTCTACAAAAACTCCCTATTAAGGCGTTTTCGCAGATCGCTTCGCTGTCTCTGACCGCTCTCTGCCGCAACCCTCCAGGTTTGAAGATGGCATACAAAGCAAGCGGCGCGCATGCACAAAAGGGAGTTTTCGTAGACCGCATTTCATCCTCCGCTAAGCCCTCCGCAACGAAGTAGCTACAGCGCCTGGATATCGTGGCGGATTGCGGAGGGCGTTGTGGGACGGCGAATACGATCTATGAAACCTCCCTAATAGCAGCGTTTTCGTGCGGATACCGTAGCGGCGGGGGAATCACGGTCTACGAAAACTCCCCAGTACCCGATAGCAATACAGTAAGTACATGCGCAAAAACGGCGGGAGAGCCCCGGGTGTTGTTATCGAAGTTATTGGAACGCTCTACTAAAACTCCTATTAGAACGTTTTAGCAAAGTTTTGCCGCAACACCATTCCTAAGGAGTATGATTTTGATAGTGCTTATAATTACGGTAACGATAGCCGATAGTGATACGACGCATTCGCAAAGGTGCCGACGGAGTAACGGATGTCGTTATTGGAGTTGTCGAAACGCTCTACTAAAACTCCCTGCTTACTGCCATGCGGCAACCGGGCGGGGGCTGTACCGAAAAGGAAAAAAATTTAGTCAACACTCAGCTTATACCAAGCTGTTCTAGTGCAAAGATATCTCTCGGTATAACATGATGGTTGGCTAATCGTTTCTTTCGCGAAACGTTGCTGTGCAAGTGTTCCTTTGAACGAGCTACGCCGAAATGGACGGTTTACAAAACGTTAACAAGTGGGATAAAATCAGCCTTAACTATTATTGCCTCTGATGCTTCTCCTCGGATTTCCTCACCGGCATCACAAATACGTACAATAACAACCCTGCTATGAGCTTTTTCGTGTCTCCACAGGGCAACAAATCAGGGGTTCTGCATGTTAATCCGCTAAAGCACGACATACTCGCCTACTACATGGTATCCCCGACGGGTGTTGGTGAAGACCCTAATAGGAACATTATCCCCCGGGACAAGCTCTAAGCCTAATCTATGCTGCTTCACGTCGATTCACAACCTTATTAAGCGTACAAAATGTTTTCAGTGCGTATGACGAACGTTGCCAGCAGGGATTCCGGCTGGAGTTTGAACCTCGGAAGCAGCACGCCACGTGAAACCGTCGTACATACTCCGTTCACCTCTAGCCTGACCAGGCACATACCCCAGGATATTCATAGTAACCCTGAGACGTAGGGGGGGGGGGGTGCGCCCCCTCCCCCCCCCCCCCTCCCCCCCCCCCCTCCCCCCCGAAACAAAATCCTGGCTATGGCTATGGACTTTGTCATGGGGCCCGCCCATGACAAAATGCTGTGTGAGGGGAGGGGGGAGAGGAGGTCCCAGCAAAATGAAAGATTTCGGGGGGGGAAGCCGGGCCTCCCCCCCCCCCCCCTTCCTGGCTACGAGCTTGAACCTGAGTGTGGTGAGAGCCACAGGCTCACCAAACCCATAACTGTCTTCCCTGTCAACCTCTGAACCCGCTCTCATCCCGGAGGTACGAGCTATGAGCCTGATCACGTGGTGAATGATAGCCCCATGGCTGGTCCAACGAGCATGTATAGCTTCCATCGCACTGTCAGCCTAGAGTGGAACTCAAGAAAGGGGCAGCGAGCGACTCTTCACGCGGCCTCTCACCTCTGTCGAAGGCCGGCGTCGCCTCTGCCTCCGACGAGCAGCCCGGCGCGTCGGGCCTGAGGCGGCCCTCCTGGCAGCGCAGCAGCGGCGGCGTCAGGCGCACCGTCTCCTCGTCGCAGTCGTACTCGACCGAGGAGCCCGGCGAGATGGTCAGGCCCGCCCGGTAGCCGCCCAGGTAGTGGCCCTGGCCCAGCGTCGGCAGCTCGCACGGCTCTGCAAGAGCCCGACAAGAAGCGAAAGGGTGGCAGATACCGCGAAACCCTCAATCCTGTCCAAGATCCCGAAGCGCGCGCGCGCGCGCTTCGGGATCTTGGATCTTGGAGGCTATGCCTTGTCAAAGGCAGTTCCAGTGCTACTTCACAGATGGCGCAAGCGTCGTAAAGCCACTCGTACATCGTACAGCAGACACGGTGTTCGCCAACGTTACTAAAACCATCCAGTTGGGGAAACTGCCATAGAGACTGCCCCGAAAAAGTGGCACCGATCCGTACTCACAACCGAGCAAATGGCGATCACAACGACGGGATGAACTGCACGGGACTTCTATTTTGCCTTTAATAGGTCATTTTGGCGCCGAAACAGATACGGTGGAAGGGGTTTGAGGCGTGCCACCCCCGTCTGCCAAGCGGACGCGCCGCGAATTTGCCCAGAGGTTAAGATGAGCCTAGGTCGGCACGTGCTACCTGAAATCAGCGCTGAGGCATGGTTGTATAAAAACAATATTAATTGTGCTGCAAAACCTTGCAAACTAAAGATGTTAGAAAATATCACGCGCCCTTCATTTTGTACTAAACTCCAATAAAAGTTACCATAACAACAGTTTTTTGTCTGGTGCGGGTCATCTGATACTCCGCAGAATAGTTCTATTACCCAAGCTCAGAAAACTCGACTCACAGTCCAGCAGATGGCAGCACACAGATAACAACTGTAACAGCGGCCATAATAATAAAAAAAGAAACCGTTTGTTTCTTTAAAAGAAATGAAAAAGAAGAACCTTCACAGAAAAAGAAAAAAAAAAAAGGAAAAACGTTCTACTCAATGCTTAAAAGGGTATACGAAAACGAAATGACGTGAGGGCAAGCCCTTTGCCCCTCGCATCAAAGTCGGCCAGTGAGAAGCTCAATGCGAATCGGGATCGTGACGTCAATAGTTCATGCACGGCCAAGGGTATACTGTAGTTGCAAGCCTCGCACCTTGGTGGCGTCAACGCGTGACAGTCTCGTCTATAGTAGTAATAGCTGAGGATTGTGCGCCCTATGGCCTATGCATAGTTTGCCCGTATAAAGCACCGTTCACACACTTGCAGCCGAGAAGAACAAAGAGAGACAAGACCGGATTTCAAGCCTCTTGCGACGGCGGAGGACCGGATGCGCAGCTGTGGAGCAGGTTCTCCGCCGTCGCAAAAAGTACGGAAACAGGTCTTGTCTCTCCCCGTTCTACTTGGTTGCAACTGTATGAACGGCGCTTAACGTCACTCGCGACCATGCCGGTATTTTAGGTGCCACGAGCGTACAGTTCACCGAGTTATTTTCACACCGCAGAAGGAGTAGCTCGAGGCAAACTGTAAGTAGAAATAATCGTCAGTACCCAGCAACGGCGACACGTGCAAGGTATGTATATGAAGTATTCAGTGGGTGCCATATTTGAGCGCGCTAATTCACAGCGAATTCGTGGGAAGGGGGAATGGGGAGATTGATATATGGCACTGATCTTGCAGAGGTCACCGCATCCTCAGATCAAGCTCCTACCTAACGTCTACAAAGAACGGCGATGTTGATGGTGTGGAATGCACGTTTCAGAAGCACTGTGGAAGAAACACGTCACTGTTCTACGCCAAGTTACATTCAGGAAACCGCGATTCAGGACTAAGTAACTCCAGGAGCGAACCATACTGCCGCGAACAGGCGCTGCTTCTTATGCCCATGTCCCACTAAAGCGACAGACAGAAACAAAAGACAGCGACAAGCCTCAAACCCATGCAGCATGCTCGCGATGGTACCTTTGGCAGGCGTTTAGTCGTTCGGTGCTCGCACGAGCGATTGCAAGCCTGTCAAAGATACCGTCGCGTGCATGATGCTCGTATTTGAGCATAGCCTCCTTTATTCTACAAAGCCTCTCGAATCGCGAAAGACTCTGGTTTGAGGCTTGTCGCTGTCGTTTGTTTCTATCTGTCTGACGTTTAAAATCCCTTGTAACGCCGAATTAGAGCGCAGCTCTTGAGTAGAAGGAGGGAAGGGTACTGAGGGGAGAAGGCGGAAAGTCCTTCACTACTAACATGGGTATGGTGTGTGGATCGACCGACGTGTGCCGCAGAAAATGCACATGCATACAAATGCAGGTGAGAGCATCGCGTTTAAATTTGGCGGGAATTTAGCGTGGAAACGTTTCCCCTAGATTTAGAGGGGGAACTTTTTCCCGCTAAATTTAGCGGGAAAAGTTTTTCTGCTAAATTTAGCGGGGAAAGTTTTTCCGCTAGATTTAGCGGGGAAATTTTCTCCGGTAAATTTAGCGGGAACATTTGTTTCGCTAAATTTAGTGGGGAATTTAGCGTCATCGTCATCGTCACTGATGATGTCACACATGACGTCACTGACGTCACTGATGACGTCATCAGTGACGATGACGTCATCGTGATGACGTCATCCTTAATCGTCATCGCGCGGTTACGCCGACGGCGACGCCGCTCAAGCCAGAAACGGGCACCTAAGAGCTGCGCTCTAAAAACTCGGGATATGTAACCCAATGCGGGCCGAAAGATTTTAGGAACAAACGGGACTCATGTATTTTGGACATGGCACCTGCCCTGCTTTAGTTTGGAGGCAGGCTCGGCTCACGACGCATTCCGCAATAAATTCGTAATATGCCCCGTCATGATTCGAGGGAATTGATATGTAGTCCGGCAGAGCATATCCATAACAGCCGAACTACAAATTGATGAGGTACTATACTTGTTGATAAGTACGCGAGTGAACGACACACGTGCACGCTCAGAAGAAATATTGACTAAATGACAGCCTCCTCTGTTGCTGATTGGCAACCAAGAGGAATTGTCTTCTCAGCCAAAAGCTAGAAGAAATATCTGCACATTAAAATTGTACATATATATATATATATATAAACTGTGGTATACGAGGTCAGATTTCGCGGTTCTGTCACCGTCGTCTGCAAGAAACGCATCTAGCTCACGGTACTTGACGCCATGAATCCAACCGTATCTACAACCAACCTAACGATGTTGATGATCCCCGCCTCGGTCAACAGCGGCGTTCATCATCATCTTCCAGTCATGGTCGCAAACATCCCAGCCCTTCACCCGCGTATCGGCAATCCTCCCCTCTCCGCGGTCAGTCGATGTTTCCAAAAGCTTTCCTCGATGGGGAAAACTAAATAAGGCAGCTAAGGGAGGTACAGCTGGTTCGTGGTTTGCTTTACACTTCCCACCGACTGCGCCGTCATCTAATTTAATTGACATAACCATCAAAAAGGTGAGACTGGCAGCACTCGTTCATACTGGAGCATCGATGTCAATATTTAGCGAGAACATTTGAAGAAAGTTAAAGCGTGTTACCGTGCCCTAGGAGGGTGGTAGTCTCCGTGGAGCCAACACGTCCCTGACTCCTCCTCTTGGGATAGTTTCCGTTGAAACTTCTATCGATAACGAACCTCTTCGCCGTTGCTTTGCTGCCTTGGACAATTTCAAGCACGACATAATTTTAGCATGAAATTTCTTAGCCAACCGACGGGCACTTATTGGCTGTAGCACATGCACACTTCTCCTCAGCGCAAATGCAAATGACGCTTCCACATCTCGACAACAATATGTACCTTCCCGCTCAATGTATCGCACACGGATATCACCATTTACTGGCGCTATCGTACAAATGACAGGATATGTGACGGACGACCCCTACATGCTGGAACCAAATCGCGAAGTATTAGTATTTCAGAAGGGACTTGCTCTACCCATGACGATCATAGCGTGCAGTGCTGCCCAAACCACCGTTTTTATAGCAAATACTACTAACATTGCTCAAGAGTTGTCGGCTGGTATGCGCGTGGCGTTCAGAACAATTAACAACATAGAGTATGTCAACATTGTCAGTGATCATACTGTAACCCTAGCATCTCCTCTGATTGATCACCAGAACTCCTTCAAGTTGCTTCGGAAAAACGTTAGCACTGATTTGTCACCTGAGCAGCAGGATGCCGTATACAAGGTATTAATCTCCTTCAGTCACATTTTTGATTTTAGCTCTCGACCTCTGGATCAAACATCTGCTGTCCAACACACGATCGATACTGGAACAGAAAAACCCACACTCAACCGTTCTTATCGAGTTCTACGTTCAGAATCAGAACAAGAAGTCACCCAGAGCCACGCGAGTGGCATGTTAGGACAAAATATACAGAGGTCGGCATTTCAGGTCGCCCTCACTCGCCCTCACCCTCACAACCACACTCACCTAAGCCCCTCACTAACCCTCACCCTCACAGCTACACTCACCCTCAACCCCTCACTCACCCTCACCCTCACAGCTACACTCACCCTCAGCCCATCACTCACCTTCACCTCACAGTCACACCCACCTTCAGCCCTTCACTCACCCTCACTGCACCTCATGGCGCTCACGCCTTTCACGCACTCATGGCCCTCACGCCACTGACCGCGCTCACGCCCCTCACGCACTCATGGCCCTCGCGCCACTCACCGCCCTCACGCACTCATACCCCGCACACCCCTCACGCACTCATGGCCCTCACACCATTCACCGCCCTCACGCCCCTCACGCATTCATGGCCCACACGCTACTCACCGCCCTCATACCCCTCACGGCCCTCACGTCACTCACCGCCCTCACACTCCTCACGCGTTCATGGCCCTCACGCAGCCATACCCCTCACGCACTCACGGCCCTCACGCTACTCACCGCCCTCATACCCCTCACGCCACTCACCGCCCTCACACCCCTCACGCACTCATGGCCATCACGCCACTCACCGCCCTCACGCACTCATGGCCCTCACGCCACTCACCGCCTTCACGCCCCTCACGCACTCATGGCCCTCAAATTACTCACCGCTCTTACCGCCCCCACGCATTCCTATTCCTCACGCCCCTCACGCACTCATGGCCTTCACACCCTCCACGCACCCACCGCCCTCACGGCCCTCACACACTCATGGCCCTCACTCCACTCAGGCCCGCTTCATAC